AAAAGATAGAAGAAGTACCTATTACTAAAAACAATCAATAAAATTGTTGGTTGCCATTTAAATTAAAAAAAATTATGTTGACGTCATAATTCAAAATCCAATGACATTCTAAATATTACAATACTGTCAGAATGTAGCATTTATGAAAATAAAATTGACCTGTTTAAAGATTTTTTTGAAAAATGACCCATAACAAAAAATATGAATTTTGTGCCGTATATCACTCTGTATATCAACTCTACTGTTCTAAATTTTCTAAATGTTTCAATACAATTTGTTATAATTGTGTAGCTACTTGAATAAATCAAAAATATTTTGCACTTTAAAGTACAAGAATAAATTTTTACTGTATTTGGTTAAATATAATTTTTTTTTGAAAAATACTGTTTTGTAAACCTTCACGACCGCTCAATTTGCATGATAAAAAACCACTATTATTTAAACTTTAACCGCCATAAATACGTGTGTTAAGCACCTTGAAAAAACTATTTTGCCATTGTTTTTTCCTATTCGTGATTATTTTAATAAAATTATTGGCCATTATTAAAACATTCTGATTTGTCTTATGCGACTCCATAACCCGTTATTTCCAGGTCATTAGGAAAATTTATACCAGTTCTGTTGTCACTATTTCAGGTTTTCTATCAATAAACATTTTAAACACAATACCGGCTTTGACTTTTTTATATTCTTGATTGTAAATGCAATCAACGGTTCTTGTAAAATGGATTTTCCGTGTAACTCACTCTATACAATTTTTGACTAAAATTCGAATTTAAATTATGCAAAACTCTGCTGTCAGTAACACAATTCAAGGATGTCAGCTCAATGCTTTGCAAGATAATAACAGACATTATCTCCATCTCCCACTTGAAATTTAACTCTCAATATTTTTTTTCAGGTTTTGGCCCCATTATTTTTAATAACTCTATCTTCAGTAACCAGCCATCCGCATCTTTACAATCCTTATTATAAACTCTTCCGGTATAACAGTCCCTCCAGCTATGCCAGTCATTACTCCCAATTCCTCCCCACATACGCGGACATAGTCCACGATTCGGCCCTTTCGGCCTATTTATCCACCCCCGATTTCCTCCCAACCCTTAACGTCTTGGCCGAAGTGCCTTACGCCATCACCAACAGCTTCACGGTGGTTCCCATGCTGGTGGTGTCCAAGGACAACATGCACATGGTCTCCAATGCCCAGATCATGAGCATTTCCAAGAAGAAACCAGTGATGACCATCAAGAATAAGAAAAACCAAGTGATTCAATGCACACCGGCCGTAAAAATTGTCCTGGAGAAACCAATTACTGTCTATACGTTGAAAACGAGCATTTTATTCCCGTCTGAAATTGAGATTGTCCATGCTGGGTTGAGGCTGCCCATAAGGGTGGGGGCTATTATTGCCCCCGTGAAGCCGGATACGTACATTTCAGTGGAAACCCCCATCGCTGTTAACGTGGTCTATGCTGTACCTACAAGACCCATCAACTATGATTATGTCAACCATGATGGGGTTATTGAAATTCCTGATAATCAGGCCGTTGTGGTGGAAAGCGAGCCGGTTTTACCGCCGAAAAATGTCACAATCATTGATTTTCCCGAAAAAGAGGCTGAGCCTGTTTTGACTATTGATGAGGAAGATGATGAATTAGGTATTTTTTTGGCTATTTAGCAAAAAATCATTTAATTTTTTTGTTTTAGTGAATCGTAACCCTCCCATTCTTTTGGCCCCCGCTGGTATTGTCCAATCAACACAACCCATAACACATATTGAGCAGTTTACCAATTCGAAGGAATCCCCCGTGCTGATAGCCCTACGAGAAGAAGCTCTCAAAAATAAGCGAGTTTGAGTTTTGACATTGAAGCTTTCGCATGTTCGTGAAAGTTCTCTCAAAGTTTTCAGTAAATTAGAGGATAGGTTTTTATTTAATAAATAATTTCTCTTGTAGGTACTACGTATCAAAAAATTGTCTTGTCGGTCAACTGTACGATGTATATTTTTTGATTGTTTTAACAATACACTGCCACTAAATTTTTTGTTGTTACAATAGAATTCTCAGTTAAATTATGTTCTTTAATAAATAAATAAACAGTTAATTGTGACGTAATTTTTTATTTACTTTTTAAAACGCTACCTGCATTTTAAAATTCAACTAAAATATTGATAAAATATTCGGAAAAAATTAATCAATTGTTAAACCTTTCTTTTTGATAAAGAATGAGAGTTTTACTAACGGAATTTTTCATGTAAAATGTAAAAGCTGTCAATATAATAAACTGCAAGTGTTATTTATGTAAAAAAAATATGGTAAAAAAACTATTAAACAAACAAGTATTTACACTACAAATTATTCTTTAGCCATACATACAAACCAAACATTAGACCTTAAAGATTTGATTAGAATCTGTTTTGACATCATTAATCTTAGTACATATTAAAAAAAACAATTATGCACACACCTATTAAAAAAAAAATAAAACTAAAAAATAAATAGAATAAAAAATAATAAAAAAACAGATTTCTAAGATTATAAAAAAAATACACACACGTAGTTGAGTAAAAAATCTAAAAAAAAGTATAAACAAAGAGTATATCGTATAGGTCATATTTATTCGAAATATGTAATATGCATTAAAAAAAATAAAAATAAAAATTGATACACAGACATAATTATGTTTAAAAATAGAAAAGAAAATGTCACGTTAAATGATATCTTATCAACTTATTATTCAAAAAATTAAAAAAACTTCAAACAAAGTAGGTGTTTACAAGTCTACAAAATTTATAAACTTATATTTAAAAACTACTAAAAGACATGGGAAACTCTTACAAAAATTGAATATAATTTATTTTATGTCAATTTTTTTTAGATGATCTGCAGCAAGGAAACAATAAGGTTTAAACTAATTGTACTTTTAATACCAAAATAATGTCCCCCAAAAGCAATTGTTAACATCCAAAAGTTACGATAATAATTTTGGCATTATAATTTTCTTCCTGTGTTAATAATTTTCTCATGAACTTAAATAAAAGGTGAAAAAATCGTCTTTATAAAAAACTTTGATAATTTTGTAGTAAAAATAGAAAAATACCTAGTATTTAATTATTAATAACAATTTTTTTAGTAAAATGAAACCGCTTAGTGTAGATTCGTATTGTATCGGTAATGAGTATGAAAACACACACATTCACTTTATTGTAATAATCAAAAAACTTTGCTATAATTCTGCTGCTAGGAAAAACACTTTTTCAAATTTTGAACAAATGTTTTGCAAGCACTTTTCAAGGTAATAAAAACCAAAACAATAATCACAAACTTGTTTGATGTGTTTTATTATTTAGGCAAAATAAAACAAAACGAGCATGTTTATTTATTTACCTAATTACATTGCCACTTCCGTTGTTAAATTGAGTTGTAATTTACATAATAGTATACAAGTAAAACGTTTTTTTAATAAAATTGTTAAATAACAATAATCGTGGTTAAATGTATTTGTCAATGTCATTTCTTTTCTAATTGTAGGCAAAAAAATCTCAAAATGTAATGCATTTTATGTAGCCTAAAATTATTACGGTTCTCTTTTTTGAATAAATTAGGGAACTCCCGAGCTAAAAAGACATCCTGCTGAATCACAGTAGTCGCTAAATATGCTAATGCGGTTAACTATCTGAGATAATCTAAAAACCCACCTAAAAATCGAAATTCGAGCAAAACCTCAGGAATATCTAATGCCGTAATTCCCCCAGTGACGTAAAATTTTTATAATAAAATTTATTATATCACGAAAACCTGAACCAACATAAAATTTTATGATCATATTCGCGTTTTGTGACCCAAAATCAGTTAAATTTAGTGAAGAATATTTCTGCTAATTTTTATTGTTAAATGTTATCAATGAAACGTGTAAAACCCTATCGGTCTTGAAACAACTTCTACGTCAAAGCAATCGTAATCTCCACATGTGGTGTAGTATTTCTCACGATTATTATACAACGGGGGGAAGTATCAAGGTTAGTTTTTTGTTTTTATATAGCACTGATTGATGATGAAAACCACTCATTACTACTTAGTTTTAATTTACGGTTGAAGGTGCAAGTTGATTTTATTTATTAACAATTATTACCAGTGAACAATGTGGTCTAAATCAGTTTTAATTTTACTTTTCGCAGTGTGCTTTAGTTCGTTTTTTGTTGAAAATGAGGGATCTGATATGAAAGGTTTGCGTGCATTTTAAAGTTTTCGTTGTTAATTTATAGATTTTTTAAAGGTTTGGTTAAAGAATATGTTATTCGACCTATGAAAAGTTTGTTCGGACAAAAAGAAATTTCTGAGGAGAGTGTTGAAAAAGATAAAGAAAGTGGCAGTTTGGATTTTTTTGGTCGCGATATAGTAAGAGAGGCATCGAAAGTGGTCAAAACAATCGGGAAAAACATTAAAGAATATGTATCCAAAAACACCACCGAAGGGCTAGATTGTGACAAGGAATTTTCAAATGGAATGATCGAGGATTTTTTGAAAAAAGTGAAGTTAATTTATCCAGGTAAGTTATTGCTTTCCTCTGAATTTAAAACAACAAAATTGTTTGAAGGTACCAAATGGTGCGGCGATGGTAATAGTTCTGCATCTCTCGACGATTTGGGCAAATTTTCCGGAGTTGATAAGTGCTGCAGAGCGCACGATTTGTGCCCTGAAAACATAGCTGCAGGTGAAACAAAAGACCACTTAAAAAATACTGGGCTGTTTACCAGGTCGCATTGTGACTGTGATAAGAAATTCTACGATTGTTTGAAGGAGGCAGGAGGTTTTGTTGCTACAAGCATAGGAACGACTTACTTTAATGTTCTTGGGCCTCAATGTTTCAAAGAAGATTATCCAATAATTAAATGTTTGGACATCAAAAAGTTATTACGAAGATTTTGATCGCAACTTTTTTCATAATTTGTTTTTAGGAAAAAGTGCCGTCAATATCAAACGGATACACGTGGAGCGAGGAGGTATCAATGGTTCGATAGTCCAACATTCTAAATTCCTAAATTTAAATGTACAATAAATTATTTAAATAAAGAATATTTATTTTTTGAAAATTCAGTTTTATATGAAAAACCTTAAAGCTAGTATTTGTAAATAAGAAAAAAAAATAAAAAATAAAGTAGACTACATGATTCATCATACATTTTTGAGATGAAATAGTTAAATTTTATCGCTTCAATAATTAATTACTGAGGCTCGCATTATAAAAAAAACATATACAAAAGCATCAGTATCCATAAAAAATTGCAAATGTAAAAAAATAAATGTCAAAATTTTTTGATAGATAGAATTTTTTAAACATTTTTTCATGTTCCTGGTAACTTATCTTACTTGAAATTTTTCTCTGGGCGCGAGTTCTGAAAGACCCTGTATATGCACGGATTTTCACAAAATTATGCACAAGATATTAAGAAATATGCTCTAATATGTGCCAAATATGCATCGATATGCAAAACCTTAATAATAAAAAAACAAAGTTGGGATAAATTTTTATTCCCCAGTATACCAAACTTTGTATTTTCGGCATTTTGAACTGGACAGTGTGAACGAAAGAGAATAAATAAATTGGTTTTGTCTCAGACAAGGCTTTTTAATAACCTAGTAATTAAGCTTTTCTAAGAAACTTTAAACAATTTGGATCAAATTCATTTAAGCAACTACTTATCAGAATGGAATGATTATTGATATACCAGGTGAATAAAAACTATAAAACCAAACGTTTTTCGCTTAAACTATTTATTCTTTGAAAAAATTAATTCATGAATGATTAAGTACTATAAAAATGTGTTTTATCGAAAATAAAAATTTTCGAAATTTTCTTTTGTTTTTGAGTTATACAAAAATATAAGTTTTTTTAAATGCTAACCGGCTAAAAAACCATTTTTCTCATGAAGGTTATAATCTATAAGAATTATAGCTATCTACTTTATATTAATTTTGACAAAAAAATCACATGACTCAAAAACAAAACAAAATTCTCAAAATACGATCACATTTTTTTATATGACTTTAATTTATAATAATTATTATTTTCTAGAGCAAATGATTAAAAAAAACCGCTTGTTCCATATATTCACCCAGTATAAAACGCATTTAAAAAGTAAAGACTCAGCAGGAGACTAATTTTTTGAGTCTGGCTAACGAATTACCGGTTGTTTTCTCTTTAACATATTTTTAATCGGATCATTTCTTTAAACTGTCCAATTTCTTACTTGAACTAAAATTTTTAATCTGAAATTTGTGATTTGAAGAAAATATGCACAACTTAACTTTAACTTGAACTGAAATTTTTTGTCGGAAATTTGTGATTTGAAGAAAATATGCACAAATATGCAATATTTTCTAAAACATGCACAAAGTTGCCAAAATATGCATTTTTTAATTGGCTTATTTTAATCAAAAACATTAGATATGCATTTGTTGATATACCTCTTAATAACAAATATGCATTTTGCATATAATCCGAGCCTTATTAATTACTTAAGTAGTACTTACCTAATTTTTTTGAAATTTTAAATACATATCTAATAAAAATCTAAACATCAAAATATTTTTTCTTTTGAACCAAAATGTACGCAATTACAATCATTTAAAAACTTTAAAAAGAAGTGATAACGTTTTATCATAAACAACATTGTTATTGAACTATCATTTGTCGCAATTTCTTTAACAAACTTTTAAGTACATCCGTAATCTAAAAAGCATATTTAAATTATTTCAGTGTATCCATAAAAGTTTTTAAGTTAAATTTAAAATGTTCATCAAGACGTCAACATTATGGCTCCTCTTATGTAGCTCATATATCATAAAAATTACTGGTACGTATAAAATGTAAACAGAACAAATCCAATTTAGTATTTGTAATAATTGTATAGGTGACCAGAGCAATTCCAAAGAAGAAAATGGTCAATGGAATTCCATTGGCCAAGAGGTAGTAGCAGAAATCCGGGATGAATTGAGCAAAATTACTTCCAATTTAGATCACAATAAAATGTTTTCTGGTGATAACATAGATGAATTTTTGAGCAAAATCCAAGTGATTTTTCCAGGTTCTTTAAGCTAAGTCGCATTTTAGAAAAGTTGGATTTCTTTTAGGCACTCTTTGGTGCGGTCCTGGAAATATTTCCGATTCTAGCAACGATTTGGGTGTACTTAAATCCACTGATTCTTGTTGCAGAGACCATGACATGTGTCCAGACTATATAGAAGCTGGAAAATCTGAACATGGATTGGTCAATAAAGGGTTATTCACGCGGTCGCATTGTGATTGTGATGAGAAATTTTATAATTGTCTCAAAAATGTTAACACTGTTGTCTCTAATGGAATAGGATTTACATATTTTACTGTTTTGGGGCCGCAATGCTTCAAACGAGATTATCCTATAGTCGATTGCCTTAAAGAAGATATTAGGTACTAATTGTTAATTACTACTATCGTACTAAAAGATTAATTTTTTGTAATTTTAGAGGTAGATGCTTGAAATATGAAAAAAATGAAACTCAAGACCAAATTTATGAATGGTTTGATAATCCCGACTATGTACAAATTTGACACAGAATAAAGTTTTGAGAAATTTTTGTTGCTAACAAAAACTTATGTTTTCATGCATATTTTTCAGGAATTTTGCATACTATATATGGTATTTATTTTAATTTTTGACGTATGTACCTACAATAGCTCTTTACATTGATAAGGTCTTATCGAAAACGACATTGATATTAAAATAAAATTTGTCGAAATTTGTTTAACACTTTTCCGTGAACTAAACAGCAGATTATTTTTCCTAAGCCTTTAATTTCTATTGAAAATGTTTTGCAAAACTTCAACAATATGGTGTCTCCTATTAAACTCTTGTATTATAGAAATCACTGGTGCGTTAAATATTTATAAACATAACAAAAACAATTAGTTGTGTCATTTTGAAAAATCTTCTGTAAAAGTTGTGATAGGTGACCAGAGCAATGACAAAATGGAAAATAGTCAATGGGATTCCATTGGTCTAACAGAAATCCGAGACGAATTGAGTAAAATTACATCCAATTTGGATCACAACAAAATATTTTATGGTGATAGCCAGGATGGATTTTTCACTAAAATCCTGCAGATTGTTCCAGGTTCTTGAAACAGGTTGCATTTTCCAAAAATATTTTTTTTTAGGCACTCTTTGGTGCGGAAGTGGAAATATTTCCGATTCTAGCAACGAGGTGGGTGTATTAAAATCCCCTGACTCTTGTTGCAGAGATCACGACATGTGTCCAGACAATATAAAAGCTGGAAAGTCTAAACATGGATTGATTAATGACGGTTTATTTATTCGATCACATTGTGATTGTGATAAAAAATTTATAATTGCCTCAAAAATGCTGACACTGTTGTCTCTAATGCAATAGGATTTACGTATTTTACTGTTTTGGGGCCGCAACGCTACAAGGAAGATTATCCTATAGTCGATTGTGTAAAGAAGGATATTAAGTACTAATATCATAACGGCTACATATTGTAATTAATTTTTTTTGTCCTTTTAGAGGTAGGTGCTTAGAATATGAGAAAAATGAAACTCAGGAACGCATTTATGAATGGTTTGATAATCCGCAATATGCACAAAACATATAGCAACAGAGATTTATTTTCCAATTTTTATTAAGTAAAATGCATACAATTATTGTGCCCTTAAAAAATGTAGATTTTGTCTGTTTTAACAATTTTCATTTTATGTAAGATTAATAAAGATAAATGACGAAACAGAATTATAACTTTTAAAAAGCGTAAAACGAACTATCGTGTTTTTCCATACTTAATCACTTTATATTTGTTTAAAAACGCGTTTAAAAAGTTTATGTTAATTTTAGTGCCCACCATAATTGTTTACTGTTAAAGAATGCTATTTTTTCTTTTTCCTACAATATTTGCAGTAAGTT